ACGCGCCACATTTCACGAACGTTTCATGGGAGTGCAGGTGTGCTAATGGTGCACCTATCTGAATGCTGTGCCAGTGATTGATTTACAGATGCTCCGATGAGCATACTCTGGAAGTACACACTATTGAGGTATCTAAGAAATAAAACACAAAGCATTTCTATATTTGCTTAACTTTATAAATACTGGAGGTGTTTTGCATTGATAATCATTGCCAGCACTAAAACAGTTAAACAAAAAAACTATATATATATATATATATATCATGATTATGTTATCATCGATATATTAAACACCATCATTCAGAGCATGGCAACATATTTGCATCATCGTCAATCATATAAATTAATATGATGAATCTTTTTCCATGACAAGTTGTATTAAGGTAATAGTGAGAGGTTTTTTTTTTTACTTGAATTTACAACAACATCCATGATGAACTATATGGACATTTAGCTGGTAAAATGCTCACCAGTAGATTGTGGGTGCAGTTAGATTTGCTTTTTTATTTTATTATCTTTGGTAAATAAAACATATTGGATTTTTAGATGATCTGGCCCAAAAAAAAAAAGTGCTAGAAACTCTATTCATTCATTGGTAATGTGATGGTGTGTGTTGCCGTGGAAACAGTGTCGGAAGAAGGAGCAGAAGTACAGGGCAAGACTGCCAACTTCATCACAATGCAGATGATACATTGATAATGTCTATTGTAAAGTCAACTTTTTGTTAAGAACCATCATCAGCGTCCGTATGCATCTTTCTGATTAAAGCTCAAACTACAGGCCTGCACACATGCACAGTATTGTAGCTAGGAACATAATCTGCAAATAAAAAGCCCTCTTCTTGTTAATGTAAAATGTGATGATTATTTTAATAATGCTTTCAAGTAGAACATTTTTATATATACATACATTTTAAAATTAGGCCTGATAACCACAACTGTCTCTATTGCTATGGAAACCTAATCACTGAGAGACACGCTACAACATAGGTACTATTTTTCTTCTATACGCTTTGATAAAATTGAAATAATGGACGCAGAAAGATATCTATCTGAAAACACTAAAAGAATTTTAGTAGGAACAGAAACCTCACTTTATCAAAACATTAAACATTTCAAGTCCCATGCTACAAAAACAATCACAAACAACTAAAATACTAAATAAAAAATCTGGTTTAACGGTATGTGTTTGTTTATTATGCAGCTGTGGAAATTGTAGAGCTGTGCACACTTGTACCTATAGCTAACTGTTCATGTTTTCAGTATATTCTGCCTCTTTGTAATATGAGAAGAATGCTATTGCATAATATGGGTGTTATTGGGGAAGCAGAGTAATTTTGTAAACCAAATGCCAAATCATACTAGCCACAGGTCTCTCCACAGACTGGTTAGGCCCAAAATGTCTATCAGATATTGAATGAATGGATGGATGGACATTGACATGTTAGCTAACTACCCTTGCTTTCTGATTAATGTAAAATTAATGCTTATTTATTTGTTGCATTCATCTAAATATATCATTGTATAACCAAAATGTCTGAATAATCAATTGCATGAATAATGAAGTTAATCAAATTCTCTCACTATCCACAAACCCTGAATTTTCTCTGTTCCACACTCTATTCTCCAGTCCGCTCTATCCCTTCTTATTAGCAGGCAGAAGCTCCTGTTATGAGCTTAGGGCATACCGCATTTCCATATTATGACAAGGCAATATTAGCCTGTTAAAGTAAAAGAAGAATCAAGAGCATTTGCACAGTGTGCAATGTCAGCTTTATATTAATTATTGTGGACTACATCTCTCGCAATGCTCTTACAGCCATAATGCTGGCAAAGCATCATGGGAGAACATCTGGAGTTCCGAAGGTTGGCTGCCCCATTCTAATGGCATGATCCTGGAGCTGCAGCTACATTAGCCCCTAGGGAAAGTCGGCTCTTGGAATTACAGTCCAGTTTAACCTTGATCAATAAACAGGAACAGGGCTTGGATGACTACTTTTCAAAACCTTATGTGCAATAAAGTGTGGATTAAATATATGGAGGGAGCAGGAGTAGTGTCTGTGCCAACCCACTATTACTTAACAAGCAATACCCCTCTTCACAAACTGCAAGAGGCCACTAGTATAACAGTGCCAGCCCCCAATTATCCTGCTAGTGCCAAGGGAATGCTCAGTCCATTTAGCACAGGTAAATATAAAATAAAGCTATATGCTCCCAGTTTGACCCTGTGTATATGTGGACATTTGGACTAGGTAACTGTATCCCATTACTTTGCCTTGTGAATGAGCAAAAGTATAATTAAATTCATCTAATCCAGGTTTATGAAACAATACCTACTTAACCACTTCTGTTCACTGACCCTCCATTTAGTGTTCAACCATTTTTGATCAGTTCAGCACTAAACAAGGGTCCCTGGCCCTACTGAAGGTATGGGAAATGAAGAGATTACATACTTCCTTCAAGCCACAGCAATTCATACCAGCAATGGCTCTGTGATAGGCTGAAATTGGTCATCTGAAACTCAGCCAATCACAGCCATCCACTGCTGCTCAAACTAATGTTTTCTTCTTAGCCCAAGTAGCACAGAGTGGATGGGCTGCTTAGGAGTCTTGTTTAGCATCAAAACATTAAAAATGGTTTAACACTGAATGGAAGGACAGTGTCAATGTACTGCAGTTACTATAACCACTTCAATTAGATAAAGCAGTTACATTGGCTGCAGTGTCCCTTTTAAAAATTTAAAATTGCAGGCCAAAATAGCAGAACGGAAAGTATAGCCGACTTTAAGAAATGTTACATTTGAACTATTTTAGCATAAAATTTTTAATTATTTTTGAATTCCCAACAATTCATACTTTAGTGCATTAGAGGAGTGAGTTGCTTTAAATTCCAGTCCATGTTACTTTAACAAGAGTCTGCTGATTTCTCAAAAGTGTCTGAAGCAAAATCTGAAGAAATGGCTAAATTGTTTGATTTGTGTAAGACAGATTTGTGTGAGCAGTTGCCATGCTGTAAATTATGTAGCAGTAAGGGCAGTATTCATTTCATGCACATAGTGTATCTTACATATTTGGATGGCTCAGAAAATCAAGTACTAAAATCCTTATTATATCTGTAAATTGGCCAATGAGAAATGAGGTGGAGGGGTTAGATGGTATTTAGAAGTTCTGATTTAAATGTAACTGGCAATTTTGTGAAAGATGTAACAAATATTTCAAATATTTTTCCTTTTTGGATTTAAAGTAAGCTTGTAAGTTTGTAGTAATAAAGAAGGCCAAAATGTATACAGATGAAAGCAAAAAATATAGAAAACTCCTTGTATTGTTATTTTAGCTTATGAATGCATGATCATCACAATGCAGACTTCATTAGTCTAGAACTAAGTGGTGACACATTTTATTATATATATTCTAAGGGGATACAGGGCATGCAATTAGAATATTGTGCATGGTGTTTCATTCCTAAATGTTAGAGAATAGTTGCATAAGTAAAGGCTAGTTAGTCCTGCATAAATAATGGGTCCATTTCTGATCATAATTGTCACATTATGATTTTCTTCATAACGTTTCACTGAGTTTCTAAAAGGTATAGACAAGTATAGGACAGCATATATAGTTTGCCTACATTTCTGTAAAGTGTTTGACCCCATGCTACATACAAACCTTTCTTTAAAAAAAGAGAGAATGATCTGGTGTCGGGTGCTAGTTTTGTAGAAAGAATAAAGAATTGGTTAGAATACAGATGACATAATGTAGCTCTAAATGGTGAGCATTCAGAGAATACATTAGACGCTAGTTGGATTCATCATGGACATGTCCTGAAACCATTTTAATATATTTATTATCATTAGTGACATTGCAGATACTTTCAAAGGCAAAATTTTTCTTTATGCAGACAACATAAACATTTGCAATTGATCAGATAGGTTTTCTTAGAGGGATAACCAAATGAGAAATTATTTAAGGAAGCACAATGAATTGTCACGTATTTGGAATATTAATTCTAATATTTAAAAAAAAATGCTACTTTATGCATTTAGGGGACACGAACCCAACAAATGAATATCTGTTCAATGAGAAAAAGAAAGAAAAGACTGTAATCCCAAGCTACTTGAAAGCAATAAACAATGGTTTATTTTATATATGTTGCTATGTTAAGACTGAGCTCTTTAAACCTGACTGTATAATGAAGATAACTGCAAATATGCTATATGTAAGCCAAAATTGTAGATGTTGTCATAATTGCACAATAATTTGGACACTATATATATTTTATAAATCTGAGTGTCATAATGTAGACCAATAATCTTTATTGTTAAATCTAATTCTAACTCCACCCCTAAACCAAACCTATCCCTTATCCTCTTACCTAAACCTAGCTCTCAACAAGTGATCAAATGACCATGATAGTCGCTGCCAAAATGACAATAATTTGATACTAGCTATGGTTGAAACTTTGTCAAAAGTCAAAATAACAGTAATCTAAGGTGATTAACGTCATGGTCAGAATTATATACTTGAGATAATGATGCTTATCAAAATGATACACTTGAGCTTATGACATTGATCAAAATTATAAACTTGAGTTTATAAATTCATGATAATGATGAGCATTATTAAAAAAATTTGTTTCTAAATTATTTAAACTGAGAAATTAGGTCAGGGAAAGTGTTTCCATCTGGGATTTTTACTAGGTTTAAAATTAAAGAGAATAAATACAAACTCCAGCCCAGAAAAATGTCAAATATAACTTTTATTGTATCAATTAAAAAAGTAAAGTAAACAAAAAAGTACATAAAATGTTGGCTAAACTGAATAAATACTATGTAAACCCATGCTATATACAGTGGCGACATACCGGGGTCGCAGGGGTCGTGGCTGCGACCGGGCCTGGCCCACCCGGTATGTACCCAGTGTGGCCAGCCTCTTCTCCTGGCAGGCCCAGGAGCCGGCCACCTCAGGGCCCCCGGAGGCTGGCCCTGGTGTCACCCTGGTGTCTCCTCTGAGTGCTCCCTCTTCAGCTCCCTCGCGCACCGCACTGATACCGGAGCCAGAATATGACGGCATCAGTACGCGGCGAGCGAGGGAGCTGAAGAGGAAGCACTCAGGGGAGAGTCTTCCCTCGCACGCGCGCCAGCCTGCCCGCTGGGTAACACCACTGGACCCCAGGGAATCCCCTCAGCTCTCCCACAGGTAAGGAGGCTGGGGGATTAAATTTAAAAAAAAAAACGTGTGTGTGTTAGTGTGTGTATGTGTTAGAGCGTGTTACTGTTAGAGTGTATGTTAGTGTGAGTTAGTGTTAGAGTGTGTGTGTGTTAGGGTGTGTGTTAGTGTTAGAGTGTGTGTGTGTGTGTTAGTGTTAGAGTGTGTGTGTGTGTGTGTTAGAGTGTGTGTGTGTGTGTGTGTGTGTGTTACTGAGTGTGTTAGTTTGTGTGCATCTGTTAGTGAGTCTGTTTGGTGTCTGTTAGTGAGTGTGTGTTTTGTAAGTGAGTGTGCATGTGTCTGTCTGTCAGTGTGTGTGTATGTATGTCTGTCACTGAGTGTGTGTTTGTCTGTAAATGTGTGTGTTTGTTAGCTAGTGTGTGTAACGGACCGTTTTGCACATAAGAGGTTCAAAACCATTTAGGCGATATTCCCCTTTTCAGATGCACAGACAGCTACTGCAATCACCAATCTCCCGAACTGCAAACACATGAATTCACCAATCTCCTGAACTGGAACCACGGGAATGCTCCAAACTCCCGAACAGGAAACACACGAATGCTGTAAACTAACGAACAGGAAAAACCATACGAACAGTTTACACTCTTAGCAGTCGCACTGTAACAGCATACAATCCAATTCCCCCCCAAGAACCAGACGACACTTTGTTTGAGGATCAAGCAGAACTGATTTACTGGGGCTACCTGCCCGGCTTTTATGCAGGTCTCCCAACTGGTTGACACTCCTCTAGGAGACCAGATGGCAAACTGGGAAACATATTGGGCATTGACCAATCACAAGCTTACAATCTCACAATGCATCACGATCTCTCCTCTCTGTCCTGAAGATAATTGGAAAGTAATCCAATTATCTCCAAGGACAGAGGCAAAACTCCATTAACCACATGGCAGACAAAGGACAATAAAAGACCTAAAAATACGTACTGTTACATTTATCACATAGAACATACACATTCTACCTATACCCATATAGCTTAGATCTGTGCGCACATTATTACCAGATGGCGCTCAGATCACATACATACAGTTCAATCGCCATGGAGCCAAAGTCTTTCATACAGTCTTTCAGTAAACATCAAATGGTAAGTTTTTTTTTTTTCCAGGTACTTAGTTAAATGGTCCCCCCTCATTATTTTTAGGTGAGGGGGGTAGGTAGGGCATAAGTTTTTGGGGGAGGGGGGTGACTAGGAGTTTGGGGACCCACCGCTCAAGAGTGGGGGCCAGGGGGAGGATATTAGGTCCCCCTAATTAGTATTTTAGGGCCCCCACCCACCGCTCCAGGGTGGGGGCCAATGGAGAGGACATTAGGTTCCCCCAATTAGTATTTTAGGGCTCCCACCCACTGCTCAGGGGTGGGGTCAGGTGGAGGACATTAGGTCCCCACCTCATTCTAATTTAGGGCCCCCACCCACCACTCAGGGGTGGGGGCCGGGGGGACGACATTAGGTCCCCCCTCATTCTAATTTAGGGCCCCCACCGCTCAGGGGTGGGAGCCGGTGGGGAGGACATTAGGTTCCCCCCCTAATTATTATTTAGGGCCCCCACCCACCGCTCAGGGGTGGGGGCCAGGAGGAGGACATTAGGTCCCCCCCCATTATTCTAATTTAGGGCCCCCACCCGCCGCTCAGGGGTGGGGGCTCAGGGGGGGCCTCTTTTTTTTTTTTTTTTAACAATGAGCAGCCATAGGCTGCTCACTGTTTAGTAGACATGCCCCTACTGGCGGTATAGCGAGTAGGGGCATAATTTACAAATACTAAAGCGGCACTGTCATGCTGAACTTTCATGCTGAACTTTCATCAACCTCTTCCTCTTCTCCCCCTCTCTCAGGATCTGTTCTTCTTTTCTTCCTGTCTTCTTTAGTTTTCTTTAAAATCATAAGACAAAGTAGGGACTCTTTGCCTTATGGAGGTTTCCTCCACTTGACCAGCTTTGACCAGCGGAGGAGCAAAGTGTGCTTCATTTCCGCTGGTCAGAGCAATTTTCCCATAATTCTTACCTTTCATCCCTGTTCCCACGATGCTTCCTGTCAGTATTGCCGAACGTCCTGTCACTTAGACAGAATGCCGACAAAACTGCCAAATTGCATCCTAACAGAATGAGAACAGTTTCTCCATTCGTGTTAGGATGCAATTCGGGACTTTGTTCGGATCGCAATTTCAGTCGAATGAATGAAACTCTGATCCTATTCGTGCTGTGGCTGCATCTTGCAGACGCTTAGTAGATAACTCCCTAATTCCCACGGTATTAGGGAGTTATCTACTAAAATGCTGAAAGACCGAAATTGGTCTTTCAGCCAAATTTACTAATACTTAGTATTAGTAAATTCTGCCCCTAATCGCTATACCGCGAGTAGGGGCATGTCTATTAAACAGTGAGCAGCCTGTGGCTGCTCACTGTTATAAAAAAACTAAAAACTACTAACCGCCCCCCACCCCCGCGCGGTGGGTGGGGGCCCCCTAAATAACAATTAAGGGGGGGACATATTGTCCTCCCCCTGGCCCCCACCCATGGGCGATGTCCAATCTCAGTATTCTCTTGCTTTTTTGCTCACCCTGTTTTCCTTCAAGGAACTATTGGATTGAGTTAGGGTGTTTCCCATATTTTCAGCTAATATTCTTTTTCTATGTGGAACAGGTGACATCCACCTCTTGAGTCCATTTGAACCTATCTTATTATTATTATTAATTATTATTATTATTATCTATAAGTATCCCATAGATCCCAGGATTATACATATAGCTTGGGGGTATTTTTTCAGTCTAGCCAACATTTTAATGTACCTGTTTGTTAATTTAGCTTTGTTATTTGATATAATAAAATGTATATTTTATGGGGGGTTTTCTATGCTGAGTATTGGGTTTATTCTCTTTCATTTTTGTGTTGTTTCTAAAAGGATATCTTGTAGAATATCTAGCATAATATAGAAATGTATGGGGTGATTTTTTTACAAAACAAAGCATTTGATGGTTTGTGAAATTACAGTTTGCCAAATAGTTTGAACCTATGCTCAAACCATTTTCTGTGCACTTTTATTACAAAGGGAAATCACCCATGGATGGGTTTATGTAAAGATGGAAAAAAATGAAATTGGGTATGAAACGTAATGAGATTTTTTTTATTGTTTACTATGTGTCAAGGTTAATACTCCCCAACACACAAACCAGAGAACAATAAGGGCAAGCACAGGCAGACGTTTTACCGGACCTTAAATTGGCCGGACGTAACGTAGGAATAAGAGATAAGACTAGTCAGACACGCCAAGGTCAGGAATATAGAGGTACGGGTAAGCGAATAGACAGAGCCAAAAGTCCAGGGAGCCAGAAACAAGAATAACCAAATAACAAGCCGAAGTCAGGAACTAAAGAAAGACAACTAATCAGAACGCACTCTCGGGCTATAATAAACCACGACAGGGCAAGGAAGTGATGTCAGAAGGAGGTTAATATAGGGCAAAGTGTACTCTGATAGGCAGGGACAGAAATGAGGCAGGATATAAATAGATAGTAGCAATAGGCTACTATCACTTTAAATGCTAAGGTCACGTCACCCCTGTTGGCTACCGCATGCACACACGCACGTCCGCGGACACTTTCCCAGAAGCGCGCGCACGCGCCTCCTGGAGGGAGCTGCATCGCCCAGCAGGAGAGGATGGACGGCGGGACTGGGACAGCGCGGGACATGAGGTATGACAATGTGGTAGTGTGAATGAAATGATTACATATAGAACTAGGCATTCTTTTATACAAGAGGAAAATAAGCTATCCTGCCCCCCTAAAAAAACACACTAATTAATGGTGTAACAAATGGTGTCTAGTGAGTATCTATATAATGCTTAAACCAGTTGCCATAGCCTAATATTATCACCAGGCTCCAATGCACCATCCCAATTAAATTACCTTAACTCCATTGCTCACTGGTCTCCCTATGGTCCCTGCAAGCTGAGGTCAGTCACATGAGTCAGTCTGTTTCCACTCAATACTGTTGCAGCAGTTATGGCTCCAAGCTGTGTCTTCATCCTTCAAGATTTAAAAACCACAGGAAGTGCCTTTAAAATCTCTTTGGTTTAATCATTTGAGAAAAAAAAAAAAAAAATACAATGGTGCCTCGGTTTACAAACGCCTCTGTTCACATAATTTTCGGTTTACAAATGAAAATCCATTGAAAATAATGCCTAGGTTTACAAATACGAAGCAAGTTTCCCCAGGATGCATTGTGCCTGGGAGGTTTATAGTGCCGCCCCCGTGCATGCTGGAGTCTGTGGGCAGCACGTGGCATAGTGTGTGGAGGTGTTGGAGCGGTTTTTGCATCGAGTTTTGGAGCCATTCTGGAATTTTATTACAGCGGTTTTGGGACTTTTTGGAACTTTTTTGGTGCCTCTCTTAAGCGGTGGAAAGGTAGGGAGCCGAGCTTCATCATTTGCATGCCTTTTGCTGTGTGTTCTGCATTGTGGATTGGTTTCCATGCCAGCTCATTTTGACATTTTTCTGACCTCTGAAATGGATCAATTGGTTTTCAATGCATTCCTATGGGAAACCACGTTTTGGTTCCCCAAACCGAGGTACCACTGTATTTTAGTTTTCTTTACATTCTATGTGTAACATAAAGGTGTGTTATGTGATGTCTGTGCTCTGGGGTTGAGTGCATTCTCAATATGTTATGCTGTTATTTCAAAGTAGCTTTCAGTCTGGTTTTGTCATATGTTATATGGTTATATGTTCCTTTTGCCCTGCATTCTATAGGGGAGTGGAGCACAGGCACATTGTTTTGATGTTACATGAGTTATGCAGTGGGATGCTTGTGCAATATTCTTATGACCGTGTCCCTGAATCTCACCTGGTGTATGGTTATGTTTTTGAGTAAGTTAAGTGCTTAGTTATCCCTAGTT